AATTAATGTACTTGGTACCCTAGCTTTTCGCTACTTTTCTTCTGTATTGTCAAGAAAAGCTATGCAGAGCCAAACATGAGATACAAGAGCTTCTTTTTCTTCAGCTATATCAGCACGCTTGCCTTTGCTGGTTAACGGCACGGTATACTTACGCTTTTTGTTGGAGGGGCTTTTGGGTGAGGTTTTGTCAGGTTTGTCCTGCGGTGTGGTCGGACGGCCGTACACTTGCTTGATCTCCATCTTGGGCGGCGCGGAAAGCTGCCTTCCTGCACGATACTGGGCCTACAGACATGGGGATTCACAGTGAGATCTGAGAAGTCTTTCACAGGAAAACATCCTTGTTCCCTGTTGTACTGCCATAGTTCAGATGGCAAAGCTGCACACAAAGCCAAAGAGAAATTAAAACAAAGCAACTACAAAAGCAGAGAAAGAGTCTACACATTCAGAATCACTCAACTATAAAGGACAGGAGTGTCTAGTCAAAAAGTAAAGAAGGATTCATTTACTAAAGGGTTAACTTTTAACTAAGAGAAAACAAAGCAAGAATAGCACAGAAGCGACTAAATAAAATGGTACCACCCGTTTTACAGAAAATGTTTTACAGCACTGACCATGTCCCCTGCCACCTGTACAGAAGTGAGATAAAAAAAAGAAAGACAGAATGTGTACACATGCATTAGGCAAAGGACATGAAACGTCAAAGAAATGTGTACACAACTCATGCATTAAACAAAAGACATATAAAACACAGAGAACTTAAGCAAAGAAATAGTTTTCTTTGGCACATTGTACTCTAAGTGACAGGTAGCATTTATCTTCATGCAAAGAGCAATATAAAAATCACCATACAGGTTTCTTTATATTCCAAAAAAAGACAATTTTCATTTTATTCTTGGTACTATAAGCGAGAAATTTGGTTGTACAGGAGAGGTACATGTATACTTACTAGCATTCTTTGCACAGGTTGGTACTTTACTTTGTAAGAATTTTTTTTGTGAGAAAGACCTTGACAGCTGTGCAGCATATGAATGACTCTGCTTTTTCTCTCTTTTTACAAAGAACTTAGAACATCAACATTTACAACAAGGCGCTGCCAAGAATAGATCCTCTTAATACAAAAATTATTATACTGTTAATACTAATAACAGAGTAAGAGAAAGCTAGAAATTATAAAAGCAGCAGTAGCTACATTGTAGCAAACAAATATACAGTTAATATATATAATTGTCAGTGTTAGAAATACCCTTTTGCTGTCTGTATTTTGAAGAGACACTTTATGTATTAACTATTACCAAAGAAAAATGAAGCAACATGCAATCTTGCACACTGGAAAAATCAGACCAAGGGTTCAATGGTGCTTTTGTGTTTACTACTGACGGTAGTTTTGCATGTATTTTTCAAATTGCATGTACAAATGTACAATGTTTGCCAACATGCAATTTTGTTTATGCCATGGGTTTAGATCCGGACTGCATATTTGCAGAAAGTATTTCCGAATTGCAGAACAAAATTTTGCCATTATGCAGAACACTGAAAAAAATATTTCTACCAGTGCTGAATTGTGGTATTGCCCCCAAAAATCATGAAAATACTGAGTTGAGTGTATTATAGGAACTTGTGATGCGATGTTGTACTGACCCTCCTGGCCTCCACTGACATGACCTGGTCGCGGGGCGGCATCAGGCTGGCCACCTCCCCGTCCGGAGACAGGCTGGACTCTCGCCCCTCCTCAAGGTACGGCATGGCAAAGGCACTCAGGTCCTGCAGGGAGAGGGAACAGGTCAAGACTTAAAGGTACGAAAATGGTGGAGAAAAAGGATCAAGGCATGATAAACAGGTGTTACAGAAACAAGAAAACATCTCTTCATCTTCATCTGGGATATCCGGGGAGGTGCGGGGACCTTATGGAGGCCTGCACTACTTTACACACACACGTGTGCAAGACACATCACGTGTGCAAGACACATCACATTCATGGCATGGCACGTTCATGGCATGGCACGTTCATGGCATGGCAGGTTCATGGCATGGCACGTTCATGGCATGGCAGGTTCATGGCATGGCTCGTTCATGGCATGGCATGTTCAGGGCACGACACGTTCATGGCATGGCACGTTCAGGGCATGGCACGTTCAGGGCACGACACGTTCATGGCATGGCACGTTCATGACATGGCATGTTCATGGCATGGCACGTTCAGGGCACGACACGTTCATGGCATGGCAGGTTCATGGCATGGCAGGTTCATGGCATGGCACGTTCAGGGCACGACACGTTCATGGCATGGCCCGTTCAGGGCACGACACGTTCATGGCATGGCACGTTCATGGCATGGCACGTTCATGGCATGGCCCGTTCAGGGCACGACACGTTCATGGCATGGCATTTTAGACACTCAGGTCCTGTAGAAGGAAGGAAGTGTTCAACTTCAAGACTTACTGGAAAAAGTCTTGCCCTGGCAATAGCAATAACCATGAAGCCATATAGATTCATTATATATGCCTGCTGTGCTTTGCCTCCTGGTCTTTTGAAGTATAGTAGATCAGTAGCAGACTGAGCCCTAGTTTACAGTAGCCAAATTTATAGGGAACATATCAAGGCCTTGGGCACAGAAATGGTATACAGGTGCTACAGTCAGTATAGAAACAAGTTCAAAAAGTTTTCAAGGACAATTTAAGAAATGGGGGATGTGAACACATTTTAATCAAGCCTAGGAAAGGGCAAAGGTACTGAGGGCTGAAGAAGGAAGGCAAGATTTTGAGATTAATGGAGTATTATACTCTGATGTCCCGATTAAACGTACCGGTACGTTTATTTTTTTCGGCCCGAACGTCCACCCGGTACATTCTTATTAGGGACGGTACGTTTATTAATTTTTGGGAAAAAAATTGTCCGTACGTACCGCACCATCAGCAAGTGGCCGGCGGCCGCAAAATTCGGCAACACATCACAGATAAATATTTGGTCCATGATAGCGGCATTTCCCATGAATATAATGTATATTATTTATTTTTCGCCTGCTGTCCATTTTTAAGTCCCTAAAACGTCTGAAAAAGCAAAAATTTGCCCACAAAACCGAAGGGGAAGGCGAGTAGCTAAATCGACGTATTTTAGCACACGGCGGTCGCAAGTCCTTGTCAAAATCGGCAACGCGGCAGAAAAATGCCTGGTCCATTTTAGCGATATTTACCATGAAAAAAACGTATGTGGTTTATTTTCCCTCTGGTGTTAGTTTTTAGGTCCCGAAACCCCTAAAAAAGTAGAAATTTGCACACAAGACGGACGGCCGACGTGGGGAGGGCGCCTAGCGCCTGAGCAGCATGACCCGTAAAAAGTCAAAGGTCATAGGGCACCCATATTGCGCAATCACCGTAAAAGCGCCGATTTAGCTAATTTTAGGGCGTTTAAAATTGATACAATCACATTATCGATTTTTAAAAAAACAATGAGATGGAAACCAATCAAAATTTTATGCTGAATAATATTTTTTTCTTCAAAAGTTTTTTTCTTCAGAAGTTTTTCTTCTTCAGAATCCAGACTTTGACCAGACTAGACAATGTACCATACCAAATAATTATTATGTTGAAATGGATTTTGTTGTAGATATACTCCTATAAACCCCTATATTTGTACTTAATTGGGCTTGATTTTCTATCTCTTGAGTTACTCAGATTTTCAACTCAAGTTGCAGGAGAAGGCTTAGCAAAGTGCATTTCAGAAGTGTAAAATGCAATAGCTTCTCCTACGGATTTTGTATTTCCCCAAAACAAGTACAATATATATATACTCATTAATTAAAGTGATATATACTCACTAATTAAATGTAACAGTGAAAAATTTGCCAACATATTGGTATTGAAATAAAGAGCACATTTTAGTATCAAAGACACACAGTTCACCTGTCAATTTGGTCATTTTCCGGGGGGTACGTTTATTCCGGAGGGTATGTTTATTAGACTTTGACGATTTGTCCGGGGGGTATGTTTATTCCGGGGGGTATGTTTATTAGGGACATGAGAGTAAGGGGGAGGGGACATATCAAGGTATTGGCAAATGTTCCTATGACCTTGGACAGGTCAGACAGACCTTGAGACTTAAAAGAGAAGCCATTTACATGGGGAGGGCACATTTCATGGAAATTTGGCATAGGCCCTCCCCCACACGTCATGGTAATGGCAATGGCAAATGCCTTCTGGTCACAGAGGATTTATATCCTACTACCATGACATTGATGAACACTGGGGACTTAAAAGTTTGTCTGAGAGTAAAATTATGGTTATACTTATAGCCAGAAATCTCAAGGCTTAGATAATTATGTATATATGCAACTTCCTTGAGATATAAGGTGGGGAGGTAAAGGATTGTCACTTAATTTCTAAATGCACATAAAATCAACGTTTTCACTGCACTGTTCCACTGCTGACAATGCCTGACCCAGAAATGGGTTGAGTTCAATGACCTGGAACAAAGAGACTTCACCACAAAAAACTGTCAAGAACTTCTAAATCTTACATCAGATTCTTCAACTCAAACTTAAAGGATGTTATGTCAACCATGCTAGGCTAAAGACTTCCATGTGACACAAGAGTTGGCGATGATTAGCTTTAAGATGTCTAAACTTGGCAGCATGGTCACAAGGCCACGAGGCAACACCCACTCTGATAAGACACACATGCAGAATGCGTATCTTAGGTAAGTTCAGCAAATACCCATTCAGACTTGTCACACAGAACAAACACTTCTAGAAATCTACAAGAAGGCAAACCAAGTGATCTTGTGGCTTCTTCTGGGCAGACATCCTTCCTTTCTTGTCTTTCTCCCCTCTCTGTCTCACACAAATAAAAAGTCACTGTTGTCCTGGGAGTTAGGACTTGCGCGGCTGGTATAAAGACGTGGTTCAACTTAAGTTCAAAGTGTAAAGGTAAGACGCCCAGGGCTAAACAAATAGTCAACACTGGCTGTAAGAAAGGCCAATAACAAGCTGGTGGGCAGGCTATTGGGTGCAGGTCACTTGTGATTGCTTTGGAACCACATGTTACCACCTGTTGGTACTCAAGGGGCAATGCTTTAGCTTGTGTCCTACTTGAAGGCACATCTAGTACACACTAATATGTAGTGTTATATACTACATCCCTATCAATTCTAAGTGGCTACTTGTCTATCTACTTGCCAGCTTCTTAGGTACAAGTTGTACTTTTGTACAACCTTATTCTAAAACCGGCAGTAGCTACTTCTTCTGAATAGCTTATAGTGTATCACTTGATTTATGCAATAACAATGTTGGGATGATTTAGATTTTGAAGGGTAGAACGCCCAACTGGAAATATACCTACCGTATAACTAGTAATGACATTTGTTCAAGCCAACAATTGTATACAACTTGGTCAAGACAAGTACAGTCTCTTTTAATACCTTAGAACAAGTGTACCATACTTTTTTGGGCAGCAAGATTTTTTTGACGGTCATAACTTTTATACCTTGAAAGTTGAGTCCACTACAGTTGGAATGGCATTTATTTTCTAACAATAGATGCATAACAAAAAGTTTGGACACCATGCTAAACTTTTTGAAGTTCTCACTGATTCTTTTAATTAACTTGTGGTATCAAATAACAAAGGTTGTTAGCCCAATGTTACAGGTGTCACGGCTTAATCAAATTAACCTTTGGCCTGTCAGGGACACTGCATATAGAACCCTTACAGAAAAACAATTATTTCAGTCTTGCCAGGTGCAAACTACCTGACATCTCAGCAAATACATTTGGAGGACAAAAGTCAAGAATAGATCTTGGTTTTCCATTAAGATTAAACCAGTACTTGTACCAAATCTATCTACATTGTAATACATTTTACCTATTTGTCTATTAAGTTGTTGTTGTCAGTATGGGTGGTGAAAGGACATCTTGCATTTTATTGTCTCTAGGAAACACAAATGATCAGTGTCTCAATCTAAACAGATGCAAAATTTGTTTTCTTTGCACCATCTTGTGTCAGGGTCTGGCGATAGAAGTTTTTGCAATTTTGTCAAACAAAAACTGACATATATAATTATATAATTTTTTTATATATAGTTTGTTTGTCTGTTTGTTCAATAGTTGTACCATGTGCAATTGTTGTGCAATAAAGTTCTTTATATAAAACTAGTACCTAACAAATTACTAAGAAGTATATAATAAAAGTGTAAGCTTTCAAACATCCCCATTGCACTATAGTGGGTATGTTAAAGGTGAACATGATATCACAGACTATATAATGGCTTTTTCTTCTACCTGATAAAAATACTCAGTTTAAACCTTGTCCTGCTGGCATTCCTGACACAATATTTTTCAATAATTTCATGTCTTAATTAGATCATAGACCTCCAATTTTTTTTTTTTTTTTTTGCCCTGCAGTGGCATAGTTGCTTCCACATTCATTGCCTTTCCCTGCGGTGTGATGCGTTGCACGAGAAATACCCCCAAATCGTACCTATACAGGGTGCTATATAGATTGTGCTGTATGTGCAGAATAACAATTGCAGGACAAGGGCTAATAATAGTATATCATTAAAATCCAACTTCTTCAAACCCTAATATGTACAATTACACTAAACACTAACAAGAAAAACTTAGCCTCTGTTTACTACGGTTAAACAATAGTCAAAAGAAAAACCAGTGACCACAAAAAAACAGTGACCACAATTTCACAAAAAAAAGTAAAAACCAACAGTCACTAAAAAAAAGTAAAAACCAACAGCAAGTCAGTTTAATGGGTAAAACTAAA